CAAGTGAAATATAAGACCCACCTACTTTCTTGACTCTCACTTAAGTAAAAAGCCTCCATTTACTAATGGTTAACAAATAGTTCTCATACTCTTAAAGATACAAATAGCATCTAATTAACTAAACCGGAATCATCATCATTCTGTCATTTTATTTAGCACTTATCACAAACGCTTACAATAATAACAAAAAAATTCTTTTGGTTAATTCCTACGTCTCTATAAAATACTGTTTAATTGCAATAGCAAGATTTTTAATTAAATATGGTTACTTCAAATTTGGTGCACTAAACAACTGTTTTCAACCATAAATACTGCTCTTTCACATTAAATAAATTTTTAGGTTACATATATTCTTTTAATATTAAAAAATAAGATTCTTCCCAACATTTGTACATTATGAAAGAGACAGTAAAAAAAATTGTGAGCCACTCCAATTTCAAACCAGCCTAAAAGCTAACGTTTATACAGTAGCACCTAAAATAGTATCCTTGTTATTTTGCCAGTCAATATAAAAAAGTTTACCATAAAATAAAAATAATTCCATAGTCAATATTGACAAGTCTCCCTGAATACAAGTATTAAACGCTTATTCTAACATATAACAAAAAACAGTCCCTGATTACTCTGAATATATGAGACGTGTTCGCTCAAATGAAAGCTTTAAACTCAAAAAATAATTGAGCACCTACTCTCTACCGTGAATCTCTACCTTTGGAGATAAAAGCTAGTTATACACTGAAAAAATATTTTTTAGAAATAAACAGCATCGTTTATAAAATATTCCATCCTAACATTTCTTTAGCAGTTTTTGATAGCTCTTCAAAGTCCTTTTGGTTTTTCTCCATTTTAAACACACAATGACAGTACACATTAAAGTCCTAGAAGTAACTTCCAGGAAAGCAGAGCTGTTAAGATTTACATAACACACTTTAAAAAACAAAACCATAGATTTAAGAATTTGATGCATGAAATGGGTACATTATTCTTAAAAATAAGAAACCAATTTAAGAAGTTAGAATTTCACTAAAACCACTAAGATATGTGTTAAAGGAAGAATTTCTCCTAACTTATTAATTGGCTTTTTCCCCTCACTTCCTCATTTCAGATCCAAGAAGTCCTAGAGCTTGCTGTGGTATACATGGTAAAAATTCTCCGGCTGGAAGCTATAAGACCAACAAGCCAAAATTGTGAGAGAGTTATCAGAGATCTGAAGTGTTGAAGGGAAATGAAGGAGCCCTGTGAAGGTTCTAACTTAAATTGAGATCAAAGGGATCCTGTAACTTACACTGACAACAAAAGGGAAGTGTGATCAAAATATAGTCTCTAAAAATAAAATTTGCTCACCAATTACATTATGCTTTTCTACAAATCCACTTAAACAGATAAACACCTAATCCCTCAAACTCAGCTACCCTAAGAACAAAGACTAATTGACTAGTTTTCCCCCAAGAGACCAAATGTTTCAAAACTCACTCAGAAAAAATTATACTTAACCTTTCAAAAAACTGCCTCTACAATTCTAATGTAAAACACAGATGGTCAACTGCATATACATTAACAGAAACCAAACACTTTTAACCACGTTATTATAAAGTAACCATTTAAAATACAGTACAATATATTTTTTAAAGAATATAGCAAAAGAAACAAAATCCAAAGCAAAGAAGCAGGCTAGTGCGAAGAAAGCTTATAGAGTGAAAGCAGCTTTTCGTATAATTTCTATTTCTCTTCGTATAATTGGTATTGTTTATTTGAAGCCAAATAAGTCCAAATGCTTTGTGTGTCTAGAGCTGACCAAGGTCACTATCAAGAAAAAACAATGGGTGTATACACTGTTCCCTTCCATGGCTACACAAACCAAATTTCTCTAAGAGTATACTGATTTCCTACAATAGATAGTAGGTTTAAAGTACCAACCTCTTGAACCACAGATCCTAACTAGGTCGTCTATAAAATAAATGCACAATCTTTTCACAGCAGCTACGGATCTAAACTTATACGATTACTCGGAGCATGATACAAACAAGTAGTGACCCCAGATCCCTACACAAACTCTTCCACTACCCACTAACATTTCATTTTATAATAAAATATTCCAAAGATTCTAAGCATGGTTGTATACTGTCTTCCATGATGAAACTAAGGCAGTTATTGCTACAATTATTTTGTACAGCAGAAAACTAGTTCATATACGAACTTCATGATTCCCTTATTCCGTTGTAAATATTAAAGCAGAATTTACTGTGTAATAAAAGAATCATGAAAGGGTGTGTACTCTCCAACCTTTTCAAGAAGTACTAGATTGAAAGGCACTCATCTTTCAGTTATTCCACATCAGAATGGTCATTAAATGCCATTAATGGCCCACTGATAATCTTGCTGCTGAGTTCAGGCCAAAAAGATCAACCTCCCACTACAGAAATAAATTCTAATCATTCCCACTTTTAAAAATATTATTAAATGACAATATTTAATTTTCTGCTTCCATCTATAAGATTCTAAAATTAGCATAAAAGGGATCCAAGACCCTATATTATGGTATGGCTTTTATTTAGTCTATTAAAACAGACTAAGTTCCACATCCCATAATAGGTAAATGGGTACAGGGCGGGGTATCAAGAACTAAAGCCTTACTTTTTTACTTACATAATTATGACTGTATGCTATAAAACAATTTTAAAAGGCAGCAAAGCATGAAGCTTCCCTTCATGAAATATACAAACTAGTTAGAAAGTGCATAAGGAATGCTTAAATATATGAGAAAAATGGATGCAAAACATAATAGTGGGAAGAACAAGCATCTCCACACCCAGTGAAGTAACAGGTTTAGGCTTGTTTGTACAGCTCCCTAAAAATTAATCTGAAAGAGTAAAAAAACCAAAATTCACAAAACTGGTCAAGCGTTGGATGGGAACCATTACACTCTAAATTAAAACATATACTCACACAAAATGTTGCACTTACACACTTACCAAACATTTAACTTACTTTAGCACAGTGAATAAAAACCACTTGGATTAAACAAGCAGAAACTATTATTTGTCCCAAATCATTTTTTTAAATATTTAAGTGCACCTATCCTAACTACTCAAATTTCTAAGGCAACCTGAGTGTTTTTATTTATTTATTTTTTGAAAGTGGTGTCATTTTATTTCCCTCTCAGGAAAAACCAACAAAATTAATCGACTAAAATACAGCATTGTAATTTGCAGTTAAACCAACACATTTTGGTAAACTATTTGGGAAAGAAAAGCAGCACAGTCTTTTCATGTAAACATAATAAGCCTGTAATATGCTGCAGACAAACGCACTGCATGGGGTGTGGAGGACCCGAGCTGATTAGATTACCACAACATCAGCCTGGGGCCGCCATTTTTAGAATCTGTAAAGGACAAAAGAGGGAAATTTCACTTTTTACTTCCCATCTCGGAAAATAAAGGAAAAAACGGGACTATTTTACAATTAGGTATTGATGTCTCCAGCCTAGAGTTGAATGCACCTCACTTAATTCTGTCCAAGGTCTCCAGAACTCCAACACCTTACGTTATTCACATCTCTACAAGGGGGGGAAATAGGCAAAAAAACCGGGTTTTACTCCAAAGCGAACTCTGGCGATTTCTCTCTGACTTTAAATTGTATCATTCTTAAGACAGACCCCAGCAAGAACGGATCTCTACGGAACTGAGGCCAGGGGAAGAGAGCACTCCGGATTGTTTTTTCTCTCCCCCTCCCCCGTTTAGCACAGTGAACCGTTTGTTTCTCTTCTGTATCTGCTGCCAGTGTTTGTGCCAATCCCTTGGTCAAAATAAGCTTTTCTGTAATGTGCCATATTGTGGATTCTAAGCCTCCAGTACAGTAAAGGACGGCGATAATGCAAGAGGAGTGGGGGAGGAGACTGAGAAGGCTGGGTACTGGGGTGACCACCTCAGGGGCGGGTTTACCCTCTCCCGGAGAGGATGAGGAGCTGTCTCGTTCTCCCACAAAGGGAGAGAGAGACCCAGAGCGTCCTTCTAACCCCCTTCGTATTTAGCTGAAAATTATACCAGCGATTGCCAATGAAGAAAATGGGTGAAGAAAATGGGGCCTAAACGGCTTTTCAGCACCTGAACAAGATGCGGTCGAGGAAAGGGAGAGCTGGCAGCTCCTGGGACCACTTCGACACAAACCCTGCTAATAGTCACAAGCCTCCCTCCTCACCCAAGCGGCCTTAACCCGCTGCCAATGAGGAGTGCGCCCCCTCCCTAACTCCCACTCTCAAGGGGGTTTAACTGCCAGTTTCCCCTTTCCCCAACCCTAAAACCCGCCATAATGCTCCCTTTCCAGGGACAGGGAAGAGAAAGGATAAATTCGATTCAACCAAGCAACGTCTTGCCCCAGCCCAGACACCTGAGAGTCAACGTCGACTCCCCCCACACCCCCGGAAGGATAAAAATGAGAAAGCCCCCTCCCCCTTGAAACACGCGTCCCTCCACCCCACAAACCCCAAGAACTCCCAAGGAGACGACATGCACTCACCTGTGATGTTCACACACCAGACACCCGAACCCCGTTATCTGCTCGACCCCCGAGGAGTCTCTCCACACCTCCGCGAACAGACGACCTCCCGACAGCAGCCACTGCGGACACAGGACCCGGCTCCACACACCCCCTCCCCAAACAGCAGCGCGCAGCCTCTTCACCAGCAATCAAGGAGTAGGGGAGGGGGCACCCAAATAGTCAACAGGAACGCAGAGGCGACGGCAAGCTGCTCAGAGTGTCTGTGCCCCCTCTGTTGCCGCTCCCGAACTCAGGCACGGTCTCCGACTCGGCCCCCTGCGCCCGCTCAGTGTCACTGCCTCTCGCTCTGGGAAAATGGCGGCGACGGCGGCGGCGGCCGCGGCGGCGGCGGCGGCGGCGGCGGCGGCGGCGGCGGCGGCAAGTGCACGGGGCCCGCCCGCCCCGCTCCGCAGGGGCAGAGGGGGTGGGGACGAAGCTGCCCGCCGCCATTTTGCTTGTGGGCTGCCGCCCGCTGTTGCCTCTTGAACAGAGGCTTGAAGATAGCCAACTGGAAGCAGAGAGGTGGGCAGAATCTCCGTCTTTTTTCAGAACAGATGCACTCAACAATTTACAGAAGGTTTGGGGAAGTTTCGATATTTGGTGGGATTGGTTCTTTATCCCTTTTTCTTGAGTAGCCCTCAAGTCTGGATATCGGCGAGCTTGGGCACGCCACTACTGGGTGGAAGGATAAGGACGCAGGCCCTGGGAACGACTTACCCCTACCCCCACCCCCATCACCCTCCAAAAACGATGGACTCTCTCCCACTCCCCAAACAACCTCAGTCTCCGTCTTCCCCTCCCCCTCCCCAATCTGGCCTCCAGCGCTGGGTGAACTCGTTTGGGGTGTCACTCGACGCCCACTAGGGGCTGAGGAGGCTCCAGTGCGCAGACTCCGGGCACCGGATAAAAGCGGAGCTGGAGCGTCCAGCGCCGTCTCGATGGAGGAGCGAGAAACGGAAGAGGTCGGGGGGAGAAGCAGCAGGAAAAATACAGCCACCGTCAGCGCCGCTTCCCTGCCACCGTGTATCGGGGTAAAAAGCTGCCGTTGCCGTCGGTGCAGTTGCCGTCGCTGCCTCCTACTTCTCTTGGCCCCGGGGAAGGATTTCCCCGCCGGCGGGACAATGTGCGGGGTGGGGAGCGGGAGTTCCTTAATGTGGCGGTGATTAAACGAGGGAGGGACAGAGAGACGGTTATCTCGAAGAAGAAAGGGGGAGGCCAAAGAATAAAACAAGGGTTTCCCCACTAAAATAACACCGTGATTCCGGTTCTTGTTTTCGGGGTCTTTCCCCGAAATGGCGGTTTCCGTCTTCTTGCTCCACAGAGACCCGGAGCGCTTGGTAAGCGGAGTGGGGAGAGGCAGAGGCGGTCCACGCGGCCAATCAGTGCCTGATGTGTCCTGTCGGGCTAGTAGTGATTGGCTAGCGATGACCTCATGCTGCAGCAGCGGGTGGGGCCAGAGCCGTCGGGGTAGGCTGTTGCACAGGCAGAGAGGGAGAAGTGACGATGGTGATGGTTGGTGCCGCGGCCGATGTGGAACCCAAGCAGTGGCGAAGAGAATCCCAAGGCTCTTCCCTGAGTATTTTCTCCTGTCCCTGCGCGAGGTGAGGGCCCCGGCTCGGCCTCTGCGAAACCTTGGGGAGCTGGCGCGGACGAGGAGACACAATTTCTCTCATGACTTTTGTAACTGCGTCAGGGCAAGATGGCGCTGGGTCTCCTTGGGGCGCGGGGGGAGAGGCACGTCCACCGCCGCCGCAGCGCATGTGACCGGGCTGCATTCCTGTGGGGTTTGGCTCAGACCCAGGCTGGGGCGGGGGAGGGGAAAGGGCTTGGGCGGAGGAGACTGTGGTGCGGTCGGCGTTGGCGGCCTGAAGAGGAAGAGATGACTGTTTGAGAGCGCTTCCCCTCCCCCATACAGCTTACAGCTGCGGCTCCCAGGGGAAAGCCCCTGGAGGGACACTCCTTTTGGGTGTGACGGCTGTTGGTGGAGGAGAAGGTTGGTGCCCTATTTTCTTATCTACCTTTCTCCTTGCAAAGTACTTACGTAAGGTGGCAGGTTCCTAATGTGAGAATCTACTATGAGTCCCTGAGGGCCACTGGACTGAGTAGAGACTAGCTCCTGGGCCACAACGTCAAGCGTTATCAATTGTTTTGAGAGAAAACGTAAAATTTCTCAGATCCTGGTAGAAACTGTGTTTCCTAAATTTAGAAGCAAATGTAAAAGGTGTAAATAACACCCAGGAACACTTAACATCTCCGAAGTTACAAGGAATATGCCGTCTGAATTTTGAAGACCTTTCTCAGGCTTTCTGTTCCTTTCCTCTGTACTTTCCTCCCATATTCTCCTTATCTGTGTATTTTACAAGAATGTGTAATATTAGTGGATTTGCTTTTCCTAAATTTAGGCGTGATCAGAAATAATAAAAGCGATAGCGTTGTGATCTATATGAAGTTGTAAGGATGTTTTAAGTACTTTGTCTTTCTGTCGCCCTCTTAACTATGGTTTTTAAAAAATAAAAGATGAAATCACTTTCGGTAAATGTTCTTCCTTAAGAATCCTGCACCATTATGAAGACCTCATCTTTAATCACTTTTGTGGAAGTATGAACTTTAGTTTTAGTTTTAGAAACCTTGTTGGTTGAAGACCTTTAGTTCAAAAGGTATTAAGGTATATATATTGGTAGATCAGTAAGAAAGACTAATTTTGTTTTTGATAATTCCCAGCTGGCCAGACAAGCATAGTAGCCATTAACTAGTGAAGATTTAAAAGTCTTTTCCCCTTGGGTGGAGAGCTGGGAGTTCCACAACAAAGGCATTTGCACTGAAACCTGGCTTGCTTTTTGACAGAACATATCTGGTGCTAGGAGGAAATGTTTGCTGGACCTGAAAAGATGGGTTTTAACCTGGGGTCAAGGTTATGTTATTTCCTTTAGTGTTGTGGACTTGGTAGTTTGAAAACAAGATTGAGTTTTTACTTTGTTTGTACTTAAGCCCTTACTAGTTTCTGTGGCTTTTTCAGTGAATTAACAATATGAATGAACTAAGAAGGCTAATTAAACTGTTAATATAGAAGAAGAACAAGGATTTTAGAGTTCAAAGTGTGTTTTAGGTCCATTGTGAATATAAAATGGGCCTTTTGTTTATAAGAACCCTTGAATAACTTCGAGGATTTACTTGTCATGTGTAAGTTATATCTCCTTTACTGTCATAGCAATTTTTATTTTGACTTAAGGAAGAGGGATTAAATATGAAGTCAGATTTTAAGGTCGCATGGTCTTCCTAGCTTCACTCTGACTTAATAAGGAAGAGAAGCCATATATCAAGCTAATAGAAACACATCCATGTTTTGACTTTTTCATCAGCATGTGTCTTCATTCCTAATTGCTAAATCTTGAGCTCTAGTTTTTCTTTACATTCCTGTGGCATTTTAAATACTACTCGCAGTTATTTCGACTATCTTTGTGTTCCATGTTCTCCTTGGGCAATTTTATTTATGCCTGTTATTCCCCAGCAAAGCCTATATTTTCATCTCAGAGCTGTAGCTGGAAAGTTAAGGTTTACAGGGAGGGGAACCACAGGCTTTCTGAGCTCCCATAAAAATACTGAGCTTGTACTAGATTCCTAAGAACTTTGTTCACCCATTCCCTCAAAAAACTTTTGCTTTTTATGTTTCGTTATTTAAGTAAACCATTCCCTATCCTTTCTTTATTTTTGTTCACAGTCTCGTCCCTTTTACAATGGGAATAGTTTATCACTGGCTTTAGATTCAGACATCCACTTTTGGACTAAAGTACATACCAAGTGCTGTGCTATTTCATACTTTTGTGTCTTTGTCCACACTACCTGAATTAACACTTCTGTTAACTTGAGACTTTGCCTCCCAAAACTCTTCCAAATCCTTAATCCCAAGGCAAATGAGCCAGTTCTTGAGGTTGATGACTCAGTCCAGTGCTTGACACTTTGTTGGCATTCAGGTGTACAAGTTTTTTGGGGTTTTTTTTGTTTGTTTTTGAGGTAGATAACACTCTACTAATAGAGTGTATAGTCCAAACCGTAGAATGCAGCTTTCACACTTTTTCAAAAACACCCTTGACCACCAGGTTTTGGAAAGGAGATCAAAGTTTAAGGAGGCTCACAAGCAGGTTTCCTCTCCTTTGACTTAACAAGATGGCGGGAAATCTAGAGAACAGTTTAACCTACATACTTTAACAATATATGAACTGATTTTTTTGGGTTTATATTTCCTTGATGTGTTTGGGGTATATCAAGGTATGTACTATTGCTTGCTTTGCTTCTATAGGGCCCATTTGTTTTGCTCTTGAGTTTAGGTATTGTGATTTTTCTTGCTGTCATCTGCCAGCCTCTAGTAGCTACATGTATGTATTGTGAAGTTGACATTCCAATAACAGGACTTACTAAATTGCACGTAAAATGAAGCTCTGCAATAAAAATTCTAGGAATCAGATTTAAGCTTATGACCTTTATGTCTGCTATTAAAGCCTTTTGGGGTATTTTTGAGTAGTCCTTGTCTGTCTTTTGAAATTCAAGTTCAAAGCAAGAAAACAGACTTTCACTGTATTTTTTTTGTTTTTAATCTTTTTTTTAAGGTTTATTTTTGAGAGAGACAGAGTGTGAGCTGGATAGGGGCAGAGAGAGAGGGAGACACAGAATCTGAAGCAGGCTTCAGGCTCTCAGCTGTCAGCACAGAGCCTGATGCAAGGCTGGCACTCACCAGAGGTTAGATCATGACCTGAGCTGAAGTCAGACACTCAACCGACTGAGTCATCCAGGCACCCTCGGATTTTGTTTATATATGGAATTTTCTTCTGCCCCACCCCTGATTTTAGTGGCCTTTAGTATAGAATGAAAAGATTTATGTTTGAGAATTGAACTTGGACCATTAAATAGACCTTAAAATACTGGTGTTAAATGCATATTACTTGATTAGTTTAACTTCCTAAAAAATGAATATAATGCTCTCTCTTTCTGGCCAAGGTGTTAGGTTGATATTAAACCTGAAATCTCTATTTGTAAACAGTGCTCAAAAGACTTACTGGGTTGTGGATTACTTGATTGCTTTTCTTAAGAGAGAAAATAAGTTTATTCTTGAGTATTCAGCAAACATTTTTCAGGGGCACCTAGGTGGCTCAGTAGGTTAAGCATCTGACTTCAGCACTGGTCATGATCTCATGGTTCCTGAGTTTGAGCCCAGGGTCAGGCTCTGTGCTGACAGCTTAAAGCCTAGAGCTGCTTCAGATTGTTTTCTCTTTCTCACTCTTTGCCCCTCCCCTACTTGTGCTCCCTCGCTCGCTCTCAAAAATTTTTTTGAAAAGGACGAAAACATTTGAAAGCTACCTGCTCTCTGCTCTTCAAAAAGATCAGGCCTGTAAACCCTGTTTGAATTGTTCAGTTCAGGTTTGAAGCATTTTTTTTTTAAATGTTTATTTATTTCTAGGAGAGAGAGAGACAGCGTGAGCAGGGGAGGGTCAGAGAGAGAGGGAGTCACAGACTGAAACAGGCTCCAGACTCTGAGCTGGCAGCCAGCACAGAGCCTGACGCGGGGCTCGAACCCACGAACTGTGAGATCATGACCTAAGCGAAAGTTGGACGCTTAACCGACTAAGCCACCCAGGCGCCCCTGAAGCATTTTTAAGTATGGAGTTTGAATTGGAATGTAGAGAAACTCTTCTGCTTCTACCTGAATGAACCAAATAGAAAGCTAACAAAAGATTATAAAGCCCACCATTCTGTTCTCTGGGTTGATTTAACAGTAGATAAAGCAAAAAGGGCTTTTAATAGTCTGTGTAAACTGTGAACTTCAGCATCAGATGTAAAAATGGAGCCAGCCAAGAAGAGCTGAAAAATCTTTTGGAGGTCCCTTTCTTTGCTTGAAGTGAATGGTAGTTTAAACAACAAAATTTCTGGAATGTTCCTAGTTTACCGACTATGTCCTATTTAAAGCTTGTGATTGTGTTTTGTTTTCTTAAACTTTATGACATTTTCCCTTCGTTGGCTCTGCTTGCCATAAGCATTGAAGTATGCAGAGTTTATCTTGCATTTGTATTTTTTATAAAAGAAAATTGGATTTGGGGTTGTTTGTTGTAAGCACACCACGAAACAGCAGTATGGGTCAGCATCATCCTTTTGACGTACAACATATTCCTTCACTGAACAACTATCTCTTTGACAGAACTGATCCTAATAATTTGGTTATCATACTAGGATAAATATTTCATACAACAGAAACTTAAATGGAGTTTAAATTATACCTTATTTATTCCAAGCGATTTATGTCACTTTACTATTTTTATCCTCAAAAGTATTTTTAAAGTGCCCTCCTAAAGTATATTGATAACTTGTGTCTCAGATTTAAAGCTATAATCTGTTTTTTACCCTCTGATTACTTTTGTTCCTGGAACAGATAGGAACTTCAGCTCTAACATGAACAAAATAATTTGTATTACTACTGTATTTAAAACCCACAAAACATTCCTAGGCTTTACACTTTTAGTTAGGTTGACAAGATAAACTGCTTTGTAATTACAACTTTTGAAGCATTTATATCTGTCAAAATGTTTACTTACTAGTTTCTCCCAACCTTTAT